GAACACTGAGATCAGAAGGCGCAATGGAGTTACCGACATCATCCAAAGAATCGCGCAGCTAAAGTGGCGTTGGGCTGGTCATGTATGCCGAAGTAAAGACGAAAGATGGACAGATACAGATCCCTAATGTGGCGACCTAGGATGGGAAGCAGAAGCTTAGGCAGGCCAACTGCCAGATGGTCTGATGACATCAGGAAGACGGCAGGACCGACCTGAACATAACACGCCACAGACAGACTGAAGTGGAAAATAATGCAAGAGGCATACGTCCAGCAGTGGACAAATATATACTGAAAGAGAGAAAGAGAAAGAGATACGTTCGAACAAGGTTTCAGAGTGGTCAGGCTGTTTAGATATTAAGTTATCTACCACAAACTCATAGTTTACTTGACTGATTCCTATAATCATAAAATTCTATACCTCCGGTTTGCTCATGACCAAATACGATTTGAAGATTCTCTTCATCTCCATACACCTCTTGATAAAACTTCTTTCGTCTCCCACTCATTTCCTTTGGAACTCACTCCTTGAACACATTCGAGCATTTACCTGTATTTATTGGTAAAAAGAGTTCATGCTCATCTTTGAAGTCTTCAGCCTTAATAGAACTTGTCAGTACAGGCATGGTATCGGGTACTGGTAGTATTTACCTTCTTAATTGTAAATGTATATATATTTATAGACATTATGTATTTATTCTTTATTGTACACACACAGGAAAAAAATAACAGTAATAAGGTAAAAGTAATATACAAGAGCGAGCTTATTTCTAATCGATAATTTGGTAACTATCAGCCATACATACGTATATGAGAAAAGAAAAAAAAATGGAAAAAGTAAAAATAAAAAAATAAAATTAAAATTATATAAATAATAATAAATCACACTATAAGAAGGAATAAACATACACAAATATATGAATATATAGACATATAAATTGTACATAAATAAATCTAAATATATATAACTCAAAGGTGACTGACATAGTGATCTATCAACGCACAGCCCAAACCACTGGACGGATCGGGCTGAAATTTGGCATGCAGGAAGATGTTATAACATCGTTAATGATCATAATGTAGCCACTAAGAAAGGATTTTGATTAATTCTACCCCCAAGGGGATAAAATAGGGGATGAAAGTTTCTATGAAACTTTGTCAATTTTAAACCGATCGGGCTGAGACTTTGCATGCATAAAGCTATTATGACGTAGGAAAGGATTTTGATAAATTCCACCCCTAAGGGGATAAATTAACGCGAGCGAAGCCACGTGCAAAAACTAGTAATATATAAGGCTTCAGTTAATATATAATTGTAATACATATATGAGTATAATAATATATCTGCATTGTGAAAGATAATATTTTTTTAATGGGCTTTTAAATATACCAATTCTAGAGCTATCACGCAGTTCATGGTAATGAATTCCACAATCTAATAGCCGACACAATAAAAAAAATAGTGTTTTATTGTATTAAAAAGTAGGTAAATTCTATTCATGTACCTATATACATATTTATGTGTATTTTATTATCGTCCTCTGGCTGGACCCAGTATGCGCATTATTCTTTAACAGTGCTCTGGATTGGATGGCAGGTCAGTGGGTACCGTCATTTTATTAGTATATTTTGCCGCGCAGTCAGAGACTATATAAGTTTGTGAAAGAACGCCCTGTAGGTTCCATTATTTTTTTTTTCAGATTAACTTTTCGCTCTTTCTTCGTAGATAAATCAGTATTTCGGTTCTAGGAATAAATTAAAAAAATACTGTAAAAATCTACTTAAATTATTACTACTTACTTACTCACTCATTTGAAAAGGATAAGAGCCGAGTTTCTTGTCAGTTTTTCTTATCTCGAAAGCACTCCGAACTGACGGTAGATTTGACACAATACACTGTAATATAAATATACTCTGAATAAAGATATTTTGATCCGATTTAAATGAACGGTATATTAAAAATCTTCTTATAAAATAGACACAGCGCTATCTAATATTTCATAACGTTTTTAAAACACCTGTATATATTAGGCACATTGATCTTAGAAGAACAAGTGTAATTCATCACATTTAAAATAAGTAATAAAGTTGCTAAGTAACAGTTACAGCAGATATCATGACGATGTGTATCAGGTCCGAAGTTAAAGATATTTGTGCCTAAAATATTACAAAATTATACAGTTAAGGGGGCGCTATAGGTCCAACTATAATTAGTGGTTAGTATTCTAGCAGATTTAATTTTGAATATGTTTTTTTGCTACTATTGTTCTATTGTTTACTCTTCTGTATATTGTTTTATATTATGTATGTTATTTAAATGTAGAGATGTAGAGTGTCTTAAATGTAATGGATTAAGGTAACGTATTAGGCACATTGATTTTAGAAGAAAAAGTCTAATTCATTACATTTAAAATAAGTAATCATGTTGCTAAGTAACAGTTTATATATAACGTGCAACTGATCGGAACGAGAGTAAATTATATTTACTGCTATATATGTAATCCACTGAATATCTCCATCAGTATAAACAGTCTTTACTATTACCTCCAAAAAGCTACTCTTTTATATATGAAAGTAATGATATAGTAATACCCTTGTAATATTTTCGTGTACCTAACAAAGAGCGTGGTTACTGCAGGATTAGTGAGTAAGAATATTATTTTATGGATACCTACCACTCAAGTAATACTCGTGCCTCTCCCGGGACCACCTTATCCAGCCCCGGTACCCATATTACGCCCATTGGACCCTACATTTGGGAATGCCTCCGTTTATTCCCAAGTTAATACAGCACTTGGATGTTAATTGAATATTTTAGTTGATCTGCAGGTCCGCTTTGGAGTCTAATTTATATATCGATTTGAATACAGTAATTTTTTGTATTATTAAGACTAATTATAATAGAAAATAGAAATAATCTGTATTCAAATAAACTTAATTTAATCACTTTTGAATAATCATATTATTTATTCTACCACTCATTCGGAACGCAGACTCATCACAAGAAGAATGAGCAAGAAACTTGAGTGTCACTCGCTTTTTAATAAATGTTATTCAAAATTACATCTTTAAGAATTTTGTAGGACTATAAACTAAATAGCGAAGTTAAATAAATAAATAAATTACTTGAGTAACAAAATAGATTTGTCATAGTTATCAGAGCATACCAGTCCCTACAGAATATTCTAAATGCAAAAGTAGTTTGTTACTCTTTCACGCAAGAACTACTGAACCGATCATCATGAAATTTTATATACATGTTCTTGATGGTTATAGGATACTTTTTATTTAAAAACAAAAACGTTTTTTATATAAAACAAAAAAAAATAGAACATCAACATTTTGCTACTTCAGCGCCCTATAGCCGCTGCTGCAGGTGCCTGATATCACGTGGCCTTACACGCAATTTGTAATTGTTTTAAAGCATTCTGGCTTTAAAACAATTACAAATACGCTACACATATCCTTACTAATATAAATGTGACGGTAGGGATGTTTGTTACGCTTTGAAGCAAAAGCTATTGAACTGTGGGCTAATTATGTAACTTCGTTCGCAACGATTTTCGTATGTAACGTAGTGAAAATGACGTCATCTGTCAATAATGCGATCATATTGACGCCATTTGACGCTGTCAACTAGCATTGCAACGTAAACGCAACTTTACGTATCGATAAAAATTATTTCTATCGAATGTCGATTTAGTAACCTCGTTGCAACGTCACGTAATCGCTATTTTGCCGAAATGACAGCGTAGAATTGAAACGGTTTTTACATTATGAGAAACAATTTAGAAGGTGTTTCTTTTGGTTACAATCTTTAAAATATCAGCATTAGCAGCATTATTTATCTTGTTTTGGTAATTTTCAGTATTACATATATTTTTATTATATTAAATATTACGTAGAAAGTCGTGAAAAGGTTTTAAATTTATTAAAATGGGAAAATTGTCACGACTCACAACATGACATCAGTGTTGCCAATTCGATATTTTATTTTCGTCCCAAATCACATAGAATGTTGTATTAACTAGAGTAAATGTTTAATATAAAATTAGGGTTGATTATGATATTAATATAATTAAAAAACTATTTCAATGAATACGGTGCTCTGTGAACGGAATACAACGTTTATGATGCTCTGTGATTTGTTTAAAGTAAATAAATTTATTTGTTTAAAGTTTTTACAATTATGTACAAATTTAAAAAGATGTGCCCATATCATTTTAAATTTATATGGATACCTACGTACTTACCTAGGTATCTATAGCAGAAAAGAAAATTTAATTTGTAGGTTAGATTAATATTATTAATGATTATAAATAGTTTGTACAAAATATGCTTTTATATTCAAAATTATTAACCTTATTTTTCATTAGAATAGAATAGACTTTCTTTATTTTATTTTATTAAATGTCTATTAATAAAATTAAAATAAAAGAACAAGTGAACGCTGCAGTATATTTTGTAATTTTTGAACGCAATAAAAATTGTTTCAAAACAACCAACTAGTGTATTAACCCAATAATTTAAAATGTATCCCTCTAAAGGTATAAGCTATCTAATGTACTGACTGACTTTTTAAATTGGTCGGATTAACAATATTCCGCTGCAACTTCATATAGTAGTATTTTATCGATAGAAATGATTTATGTTGCGGTCATTCGACCTTACTTGATCGCATTTTTTAAATTGAAATGATTTTATATTGCATCACAACTTCAACAGAAACAATTTCATATCGTGTTACATAATTAGCCCACTGATCATTTAGAAATTTTGTACATATATTCTTGGTAGTATTAGGATGAATATAGAGTACTTGTGAAGGATGGAGATCAAGATGACGAGCAAAAAGTAAAACGGCACCGTTGTAGTTGTAGAATATTTTTGTATAATGAATTAACTTATGTCATATAAAAACAATATAATATTATAAAAAATCAAACAAAAAAAAAGTTATAAAAATAGTTTGCAACATCGTTCCACCCGTGTAGCACTTTGCTACACAATTGTGTCTTCGTGCAATAGGGCCAGTTTGCGCACGGGTCTCCTCAGCGTGCCCCCTTTGGTGGCCACATCTGCTACTCGCACGACTCCATCTTTGCCTGGGAAGACCCCAGTTACTCTTCCCATAGGCCATACTCCTCGTGGTAAATCAGGATCGACCAGTAAGACGATGTCGTCAACTTTAAAATTCTTGAACACGCCTCCTTGCTGTTTTTTAGATTTTAGAGTCGGTAAATACTCTCTAAGCCAACGGTTCCAGAAGTGTTCGGATAGGCGAAGTGATTTTTGCCACTCCTTCCTTAATGAAAATACTCCATCATCTAGTCTCAAGGGTAATTGTTGATTGGATGAAGTACCGATTAAAAAATGAAACGGCGTAAGGCTCTGACATTCTTCGTTTTGTGTGACGTATGTTAAAGGTCTGGAATTGACTAGAGCCTCCGCTTCTAACAAGAAAGTATGAAGAACTTCCTCTTTTGGTGCTCTCTCCTTTAAAGTTGTCAGGAGAGCGGTTTTGACAGTCCGTACTAAACGCTCCCAGCAGCCTCCCATAAACGGCGATGCAGGTGGTATGAATTTCCATTCACAATGGTTAGCGGCAGCGAAGTCTTGTACGGACTGGTTATGGAACTCGGCTAATTGGCGATTCGCTCCCACAAAAGACGTTCCATTATCAGATGTCATTATTTTCGGTACACCTCTGCGTGCTATAAAGCGACGTAAACTGGCAATGGCAGAATTAGATGACAGATTAGCGACGATTTCCAGATGAACAGCACGAGTTGTCATACATGTAAATAAGGCAATCCAGCGTTTTTCTCTGCGGCGACCAATTGTGACTTCCACCGGACCGAAATAGTCTAAACCGACGTTTGTAAAAGGACGTGAATGGTGGTCAAGACGCATTTCTGGTAGGTCACCTGTTGGAGGAATCTGTGGGTTAGCCTTGCGTTTCACACAAAACATGCATCTTTTGGCGATCGAACGGACTTCACTGCGGCAACGAAAAATCCAGAACCGTTGTTTTAACTCGTTGCAAACCAACTCGTTGAAAGTGTGGGCGGCTTTGACATGGTAGTGACGAATAAGAAGACGTACAGCTGGATGACGACCATCGAGTATAATAGGGGATACAACGTCACAATCAACGTTTTTTTGGCGCTTGATACGGCTATCCAACCTGAGAAGACCCTCTTCGTCAAGTACAGGAGACAAAGAAAGTAGTTTGCTCGATTTTGGCAGAGGTTTGGAGTCGTGTAGTAGAGCCATTTCTTGGCTAAAACTGTCTATCTGCGACTTTCTGAGAATAGCAATTTCAGCTTTCTGAATATCTGAAGCGGTCGGAGATTGTAGGTTTGAGTCCCTATTAAATTTAGAATTTGTATCTTTAAAACGTGCCAAAAGATATCTAAATTTGTTCGCGCATTGGTGAACGCGCGCGGTTGCACGCACCAAACGAAACCACTCACTAAAGCGCGAGGGATCTGGTGTAACCGATGAAGGTTCATCCAGAATTGTTAGTCCCACTACCACTTTCGTGGGTTTCAACTCCTCGAAAGTGGATAGGGTCTCCGAAGTCAATGGTTCTCTAGGCCAATCAGAGACCGGTAATAATAAAAATTCGGGTCCAGAGAACCATCGCTTCAAATCAGTATCGCGATCTTTAAATCTTGTTGCATCGTCTGCAACATTCAAACTACCTGGTACGAATTTCCAGTTACTAACGTTAGTTATCTCTGTGATTTCACCGACACGATTAGCGACAAATGGTTTGAATGTTCTGGCGTCGCTTCGAATCCAACTTAATACTGTGGTGGAATCGGACCAGATATAAGTTGCATTCACATTAACACTGTGACTGGAGCGTATGGTAAGAGAAAAACGAGCTGCAATCAAAAATGCTTGAAATTCTAAGCGAGGTATAGATGTGGGTTTAAGCGGAGCTAGACGTGCTTTTCCACCAATGAGTGATAACTTCACGGAGTCGTCTGAAAAAGTAAATCTCCAGTAAGCGACACAAGAATATGCTTGCTCACTTGCGTCGGCAAAAACGTGAATCTGTCTGTCAACGATTTGTTTGTTCTGGAACCCACATCTGTACCAACGAGGAATTTTAAAATCAGAAATTTTGCGTAATTGTTGAGACCAGAATAACCATTTTTGAACCATATCTGATTGCAACTCGGTGTCCCAATCAACACTGGTTCTCCACGTTTGTTGAAATAATATACGTCCTTGAATTATCAGTGGAGTAAGAAGACCCAGTGGATCGTACACACACATTAAATGAGACAACGATGTTGCAAACTATTTTTATACCTTTTTTATTGTTTGATTTTTTATAATATTATATTGTTTTTATATGACATAAGTCAATTTAATACAAAAATATTCTATCAACTACAACGGTGCCGTTTTACTTTTTGTTCGTCATCTTGATCTCCATCCTTCAAAACTAAAGGTGTCGCTCTGTGGGTGCCATATGAGACCTAATGTTCTGACAAATGCTTCAGGTCCTACGTGAACATTCTCAAGTGGCTCAGCGCGTAAATTTTCAGGAACAGCAGTAAGCGCGGTGGGTACATTTGATATCCATCCACGCATTTCCATTCCTGCTGCCTTGTAAATAGTAATTGTTCAAGACAATTTGAACCTAAAATAAATATAAATATTTTGTAGTATATATTTTCGGTTTGTAATGGCAACACTTAACAGTTTAAAAAGGATTCATTCAAACTGTCACTCCGCCCTTTCTGTTTCTAACTATCAAGCCATACGCACTGTACTCCTGTAAATCAAATATAAAAATACAGTCCAAACATATTAAAAGCATATGTTGTTTTATTAATCCAACATATTGCTTGTGGTCCATCGAAGCTGTGAAATTCGACTGTTGTTTGGGTGCAAATCATCCCGAACGACATACTCCGTCTACGGCCATACCACGTCGACGGCCGGCCCCAGAAGATTTTCGTGCGAAATCTATAATTTCGTTGCGAAATTTCAACATCGTCGTGATTACTCCTGATACACATCGCACAAGAACAAGAAAAACTGGCAGCTAAGTTGAATCTCAATATAATATCAGCATTTTAATATTTTTCCAAGACGAGGGTATCTCCATCCACGGAGTTAAAATTCAAAGCAAGAAGAGACAAATAAAGTTACGTCATCCTTTTCCTATTTTCGCTCTGTGGCACACAGTGACTTTAGCTTTTATAATCTGTCACATTACAAAAAACAAAACTGCTGTATCATTGTGACAAATAAAGTGCATAATTATTGTTCTGAATTTCAAGTGTTTGTGAAAAATAAACCGTAAAAAAAATGGAGAATTCTGACACTCTATTGCGTGATTTGAAAAACCGGCGTAAACTCATCAAGGCATCAATCACTCGCATTGAAAACTTCGTGGCAGACCCTATCAATTTGGGGTCGTCTCCTGAAATGTTTGCGGCGAGACGAGATCGACTAACAAACATATTTAGAGAATATGAGGAGGTACAATTAAATATATTATCTTATGACGATAAAGATGTGGAAGATGTGGGCATCATAGAAGATAGGTACTTTAATGTAATTTCGAAAATAACCTCAATTTTAAAGAAGTTAACTCAGACAGATTCATTGTGCACAAATGTATCCAATTCTAAGCTGCCCAATATCGAAATTCCGTCATATGATGGCAGGGACTTCACCAAATTTAAGCCTTTTATTGATTTGTTTTTGGCAGTAATACATAACAATAGTTCATTGTCCGATGTACAAAAATTATTTTATTTAAGAAAATCTTTAACTCATGACGCCTTATCTGTCATTGAGAACTTACCTCTTGTAAATCAATCCTACAAAGAGGCCCTAGAATTGTTAAATAAACGGTTTGATAATGAGGCAAGATTAATCTCTAATCATATTAATATAATTTTAGAGTTACCTTGTATGCAGAAAGGTACTGCGGCCGCTATACGGTCATTTATATCAGGGGTACAGCAACAAATATATGCATTAAAAAATTTAGGGCAGCCAGTCCAACATTGGGACATGCTGTTGATATCCATACTTACTAAAAAATTAGACCAGTATACAAATAGGGCTTTCCAATTAGATAGGGATCCCAATACATTGCCAACAATGGTAGATTTTATTTCATTTTTAGAACGGCGTGCTATGGCGCTGGAAGACAGTGGGGATAAAAGTAGCACTATTACTTCAAATAAATCTCCCACTGCACATAATAAAGTCAGCAATATTGCTACTACTAGTAATAAATCTAATAAGCTGTGCTTGTTTTGTCAAGGTACCGGCCATGCTATACATGGCTGTCCTCGCTTCAAGCTGGCCGCCTTAGAGGACCGCTTGCGGTTTGTAACAATTAATAAATTATGTAATACCTGCCTGAAATGTCACATAGGTAAGTGTAAATTTAATTTTGTTTGTAAATACTGTAAACAGAGCCACAATACGCTTCTGCACAAAAATAATAGTTCTCATGAGAATCATGAGGAACCTGTAACTTTGCATTCTATAAATGTAAAAAATAATCTTATTCTACCTACTGTAAAGGTTAAAATCATTGACCAATATGGTCAAGATATCTATGTAAAAGCCTTGCTTGACAGTTGTAGTCAGGTGTCATTCATCACCACTAAATTGATGGATAAATTGAATTTAACTTCCAAAAGTTGCCAATCCAACATACTTGGAATTGGTAAGAGAAATAATCAAATAAATAAATTTGTAAATATTACAATATTTTCTATAGTAACTCATGTTCAGTTTAATGTAAAATGCCATGTTGTCAATGACATTACAGCTCCCCTGCCGCAACAATATATAAATATTTCAAGTTTTAATTTTCCAAATCATATTAAATTCTCTGATGATGAGTTTTATGTACCATCTGAGATTCCTATGCTTCTGGGTGCTGACATATTTTTTAATTGTTTATTAGATGGTCATATTAAAATACCTAATGGTCCTGTTTTACAAAACACATTATTTGGCTATGTTGTGGGAGGTGATATGTATAGTCAAGACACAAAGTGTAATAATCAGAAATCAAACCTGAATCACCTACAATATAATAACTTTGTTTCTAATTTGGTAATATATGATAATGAAAAGTTAGAAAGTGTAATGGAAAACTTTTGGCTGTCTGAAAGAGTTCCTGAAGTTGTAACTGAGGTTTCAAAATTAACTGAATTTCAGAGAGCTGAACAATGTTTCATAAATTCGGTAAATATTCAAAATAATAAATTTCATATTGATATGCCTCTTATTACTGATATACATGACTTGCAGCTTGGGGATTCTCTTTCAGTGGCCCTTCCAAGATTTTTATCATTAGAGAAAAAGTTTAATAAGAATCCTATGTATTTTAAACAATATAAATTATTTATCGAGGAATATATTGCCTTGGGACATGCCAAAATTGTTGATATCAGTACCTATGATTTTGATAACGAACCGGTTTATTTTTTGGCTCATCATGCCGTATTTAAAGAGGACAGTGTAACAACTAAGCTGCGTGTTGTGTTTGATGGAAGTATGCCATCTTTGAACAAAATCTCTTTAAATGATGTCATGCTGAATGGCCCAGTGGTCCAAAATGAACTCTTTGACATATTATTGTTGTTTAGAACATATTGTTACACACTTACCTGTGACATTACAAAAATGTTTAGAGCCATAAATATAAATAAACATCAACTTGGTCTTCAAAATATTCTGTGGCGAGATGACCCCAAAAAACCTATCTCTATCCTGCAACTTCAGACAGTCACATATGGACTGAGGGCTTCCACCTTTATGGCCACGCGATGCCTTATAGAGTTAGCTAGACAAAATAAAAATGAATTTCCACAAGCTGCACAAGCCCTGCTTTCTAATACTTATGTCGATGACATTATATGTGGTGCGGATAGTTTAGAGCAGCTTGAACAAATTAAAATTCAATTAATTCAATTATTAAAAATAGGGGGATTCGAGCTGCACAAATGGTGTTCTAATTGTCCTCAGGTTTTACATGATGTTCCTTCTAATAAAAAATATTTTGAAAAAATTGATTTACATAAAAATAATATTGTTAAAACTCTGGGTATAAAATATGATGTCATTCCAGATCAATTTATATTTTCAAGTCCTATCATTGAAAACAATTATTATATGAAAACTAAGAGAAAAATTCTTAGCTTTATTGGGAAAATTTTTGACCCATTAGGTTTGATTAGTCCTGTAGTGGTACTAGCCAAGTTATTTATGCAAGAGCTATGGTCTATGCAGATTGACTGGGACTCTACATTGCCCCAGAAACAAATTGATCATTGGAATAAATTTTTATTTAATCTCAACTCGATGGGAATAATTAAAATACCACGAGTCATATACACCAATACTCTATTCCATGTAGAGTTAGTTGGATATGCGGATGCCTCTCTTAAGGCATTTGGCTGCTGTCTCTATCTGAGATATTTTAATTCTGATTCTAGTGTCTCTAGTAACTTACTTTGTTCTAAAACAAGGGTTGCCCCTCTAAATAAATCCATAACCATTCCAAAGTTAGAACTTAATAGTGCTTTGTTACTAGCAAAATTAGTAAACAGAGTAAGCACCATATTGCAAACAAGATTGAAGTTAAAGGTGTTTCTATATAGCGATTCACAGATAGTATTAGCCTGGATTAAAATGGCCAATATTAAAGCGAATCCATATGTTTCCAATAGGGTTAAGGAAATAAATTCTTTGACTAAAGATTTTCAATGGTCATATGTAAAAACTTCTGATAATCCTGCAGACTTGCTCACAAGGGGAATTGATCCACATAAATTGCAATCAAATTATTTGTGGTGGCATGGTCCTAAAGATTTAATAAATAATAAATTTTGCCATACACCTGCCGACTGTAGCTATCCCATAGTAAATCATGAGCCTGAATTATCAGTGAATGTCTACTGTATAGATCCATCTGTATTCGATTTATTTCAAAAAATTTCTGATATTAATAAATTACAAAGAGTCATCTCTTATATTTTACGTTTTAAAAATAATTGTCTCAGTCAAGAAAAGTTTAGTGGTTCGCTGATGCCTAAAGAGCTCTATAACGGACTCTCAGTAGTAATTCGGTGTATTCAAAGAAAATACTTTCATAAGGACATAGAGTCAATGATAAAGGGAAAACCTATTAAATCTGGTTTAGCTAATCTTTACCCATATTTAGATCAAACTGGTGTTCTCAGAGTAGGAGGGCGTCTACAAAATGCGAAAAATATTTCCTTTGATAAAATGCACCCTGCTATACTTCCAAAATCTTCTCATATTACTCATTCCATAATTCGAAGAGAACATCTTAGATTGTTACATGCTGGTCCAAAGCTTGTATTAAGCTCCTTATCTCAAAGATATTGGCTTATTAGTGGAACTCGCGAGGTCAAAAAGGTGGTGAATAAATGCATAAAGTGTGCTCGTTTGAAAGCAGAAGCTTCTAAACAATTAATGGGGTCTCTACTACAAGATAGGCTGACTGCTAACAGACCATTTCAAATTGTGGGTGTGGACTTCTGCGGTCCATTCAGCATCAAAATTCCACGAGCGCTATTTGTTTGCTTTGCTTG